ACATTGGCATAATAGCCTAACTCTGATGCCTAATTTTCCACAACTGTCAACAGGGGCTAATCTTACCATCTACCTTAGGTCTGTTATGAAGATGGAGATAGTGACGCCTAGCAACACTTAAAAAATGGTAACTGTTGTTACCTTTGTTGTGTAGATAGTGGTGGTGAAAGTGATGATGGTGGTATTAACAAGGTGTCAGGAAACAGGAAAGAAAAGTAGTTACTTGTGAAATATCACAACACTGAAAAAACATTGAATAGCAATTTAATTTTTACACTGAATATATAGACAGGAATTTCCAATATCTAGCATAATTGATTACTCCAATTCAGACCAAAGGAGAGTTGGGATTAGGGCCATTGTCTTTTCTTAGCTGAAAATACAGAGAAATCTGTACCTATACATACTTATTGATGACTTTGTTGAAAACTTCATCCAAGAAACTCAAGCACTGCTAAATTTGTGTGACTCATCTTATTAATGAATACAAAGGCCTATTAACTATTCTCATTTCAATTACTGATATTATCATCATCAGTAACAAAGAGTCAGTGTGACCTATTAAGTGAACCTATTCATGTCTTTGTCTTCCCTTCTGTTATAAATGAGCTATTCTCTTCTCCTGCGCTCATCCCTCCCTTGCACACATAACACCAGCCAGGCTCTCCTGCCACTCAAGGACTCTTAGTCATTTCCTCTTACTCTTGTGTCAGTTTGTCCTCTCCCCTCATCTACATATAAGCACACTGTAGCAGGTCCCACCTTAGTAAAAATTTAAAATTCTTGTGTGATGTCAGATTTTTCTAAGCACAGCCCATTTCCCTGCTCCCCTTGATAGCAAAATCCATGAAAGAGAAGAGCGGAATGCTGAAAATAATTGAAGCTGGGTGATGGGACTATTACATATTTATCTTGCTACATTTTAAATTTTAAAAAGATTAGTGAACTATAATTGACATATAATAAGCTGTATATATTTGATATGTGGAATTTAATAAGTATGAACACAACATACCAGTGAAACCATCACATATTCAAGATAATGAATATATCTATGACTCTCAAAAGATGCCTAGTACCCCATTGAAACTCTTCCCAGTCAACCAATAATTTGATGTGTCACCATCTATGCATTTACATTTTCTTTTCTTTTTTTTTTTTTTGGTATGTGGGGATTGAACTCAGGGACACTTGACCTCTGAGCCACATCCCCTTCCTTTTTTTGTATTTTATTTAGAGACAGGATCTCACCGAGTTGCTTAGCACCTTGCTGTTGCTGAAGCTGGCTTTGAGTTCGCAATCCTCTTGCCTCAACCTCCCAATCACTGGGATTATAGACTTGTGCCACCATGCCCAGCTTATGCATTTACATTTCTTTTTTTTATTAAATTATGTATTTATTCTAATTTGTTATACATGATGGCAGAATGCAATTCATTTCATATTACACATATAGAGCACAATTTTTCAAGTCACTGATTATACACAAAGTATTTTCACACCATTCATATCTTCATACATGTGCTTAAGGTAATGATGTCCAACTCATTCCACCATTATTCCTACCACCTCACCTCCTCCTTCCCCCTCCCTCCCCTTTGCATTTCCATTTTCTAATATTTGTTGAGATGGGGTCTCACTATGTCGCCCAGGATGGCCTCAAACTCCTAGGTTCAAGTGATCCTCCTGCCTCAGCCTCCCAAGTAGCTGAAACTATAGATGCAAGTAATGGTGCCTGGATCATTTTATAGAAATCTTATGAATGAAATAATTCAATATGTACTCTCTCTTTTGTTTCTTTCACACAGAAAAAAATTGTGAGAGTCATCTACGTTGCCGCAGCATGCAGAAACGGTTCATTTTTCTTTATTGCTGAGTATTACTTATACAACAGTTTGTTTATCCATTCCTCTGTTGATGGGCATGTGGGTTATTTCCAGTTTAGGACTCTTAAAAATAAAGCTTTGGTAGGTCTTTAAGTAGACATATGCTTTCATTTATTGTGGATAAATACCTGGAATGATATGACTAATGATATGGCAAGTATTCATTTAAATTTTTAAAAAACTAAAAACAGTGTATTTCAGGGTATATGTATAATTTTATATTGCTGTTCTTGTGTATAAGTTCTAGATCCTCCACATCCTAATCAACACTTGATATATAGTTAGATTTTTTTATTTTTACCATTCCAATAGGTATGTTTCTCATTATGGTTTTAATTTACATTTAATTACTAATGAACTTGAGCATCTTTTCATGTGCTTACTTTTCTTTTGCAAACTTTCTTTAATAAAGCTTCTGTTTAAAACTTTTACTGAACTATTTTCTTTTTTTAATTTATATATGACAGCAGAATGCATTACAACTCTTATTACACATATAGAGCACAATTTTTCATATCTCTGGTTGTATACATAGTATATTCACACCAATTTGTGTCTTCCTACCTGTATTTTGATAATAGTGATCATCACATTCCACCATCATTAATAACCCCCTGCTCCCTCCCTTCCCCTCCAACCCTTCCGCCCTATCTAGAGTTCGTCTATTCCTCCCATGCTCCCACTCCCTATCCCACTATGAATCAGCCTCCTTATATCAAAGAAACCATTCGGAATTTGATTTTTTGGGATTGGCTAACTTCATTTAGCATTATCTTCTCTAATTTCATCCATTTACCTGAAAATGCCATCCATGATTGTTGAGTTTTAAGAGGTTTTTAAAAACATTCTGGATGTAAATCTTTTATCAGAAATGATTTTCAAATATTTTCTTCTAGTCTTTTTATTCTCTTAACAGTGTCTTTTAAGGAGAAGAAACAGTTCCTTTCTTAAAAAGCAAAGGTTTTTTATTTTTATTTATTTATTTATTTAGTTAGTTAGTTAGTTAGTTTTTAGTTTTTGGCGGACACATCATCTTTGTTTGTATGTGGTGCTGAGGCTCAAATCCGGGCCACACGCATGCCAGGCGAGCGCTACCGCTTGAGCCACATCCCCAGCCCAAAGCTTTTAATTTTGGTAAGTCCAATTTATCAAATGTTTTAATGCATACTAGTTTTGATGTTGTATGTAAGAAATTTTCACCCGACCCCATGTTGTATTTTCTCTTGTATTGTATACTAGAAATTTTTGTTTTTATATTTAAGCCTGCGATCCATTTCAATTAATTTTTACATATTGTCCATAGATTGAAGCTCTTTTTTTTTGCATATCAATATCTAATTATTCCAGTATCACTGGTTGAAAACACTATCCTTTTACAAAATTTTCTGCATCTATATCAAAAATCAGTTGTCGGAGCTGGGTTTGTAGCCCAATGGTAGAAAACTTTCTTAGAATGTGTGAAGCACTAGGTTCAATCCTCAGCACCACATAAAAATAAATAAATAAAATAAAGATTTTGTGTCTATTTACAACTAAAAAAAATTAAATAAATCTAAAGTTAAAAAAATCAATCGTCAATATGTGTGGACATACTTCTGGTCTCTCTATTGCATTCCATTGATTTATTTGTCTATCTCTAGGACAGTTTCACTCTGTTCTGATAATTTTACTTTCCTAATAAACCTTGAAAGTGGGCAGTGTTAACTATCTAATTTTGTTCTTTATTTAAAAAATTGTTTGGGCTATTCTAGGTACTTTTGTTTCCAACTGAATTTTAGATTTGGCTTTTCAACTTTTTTAACGTATGTATTTTGAGATGGGTCTCACTGTGTTGCCAATCCGGTCTCAAATTCTGTGCTCAAGCAACCATCCTGCCTCAGCCTCCCCAACTAGGGACTGTAGGAGAGCCACCATCCCCAGCAATAATATTAATTTATTTAGTCAGTTATCTAGGTGTGGTAGGGATCAAATTCGAGGCCTATGTATGCTAAGCAAGCACTCTACCACTGAGCTCAGCCCTTGGTTTATATTTTTTTTAAAACCTGCTGAGATTGTAATTGGGGTTACATTAAATCTGTGAATCAATAGTTAACTGATATCTTAACAATACTGATTCATGAATATGCATGGTCATGAATTTTAAATTCACTAGTTCTGCATAGAATAGTAGTTAGCAACTACTTAACCTGCTTTTAATATTTTATCTTTATCACTTTGTCATTGGCTTTGAACTATTTGACCATATTGTGCTTTGTGTGGTTTTCACATTCCTTGTGCTTGAAACTGTTGAACTTTTTGAATCTATGAGTTTATAATTTTTAGTAAGCTTGGAAAACATTTTGGTTATTATTGTTTCTTTAAATGTTTTTTCCTGCCCAAACCCTTCTTTCAGTTTCACCTGTATGTGGCCACTGGAAGTTGTTCCACAGTTCACTGGTGCTGTGTTCATTTTTCAATTGTTATTCTCTTTTCTTTATGTGTCTTGTTTTAGTTTCTGTTATATCTTCAAGTTCACTAGTCTTTTCTTGGACTGTGATCTGTGATGTTTGATCTGCTATTAATCCCACTCATTACATTTTAATCTTTGATATTATAGTTTTCATCTCTATGATTTGTTTTTATATCTTCTGTATCTCCATTTATCTTTTTGAAGATAGCTAATACTGTTATAATAATTTTTTTCTAGTCTTTATCTTCTAATTCTAATGTATGTGTTAATTATAGGCTAGTTTTGATTGATGGATTGATCTCTTATGGTTGTATTTTCTTGTTTCTTTTCCTGCTTGGTAAGTTTGTTACATGCCAGACATTACTAATTTTACCTTGAAGGGTACTGGGTATGTTCGTATTCCTATAGTCTTGAACTTTATCCTGGGATGTTTTTAAGTTGCTGTTTTGGTTTGGATGAGATGTCCTCCACAAAGCTCCTTGTGTTAATGCTGGAATATTCAGAGGTGAAATGATTGAACTTAATCAGTCCATCCTACTCTGATGGACTTACTGGTTAGTAATTATAGGCCCGTAGGGCACAGCCAGAGGAGGGGTCACTGGTGGCATGCCTTAGAAGGGTTGCTCTTCCCTGCAGCCCCTTCTACTCTCCCTTTCTGCTTCCAGGTCACCATGTGGTAAGCTGTATTTCTCCACCTTGCTCTTCAGCCATGATGTGTCACCTAGCTTCAGGCCCTGAGGAATGGAATTGGCAGTCTATGGATGAGACTTCTCAAACTGTGAGTCCCAAATAAATTCTCCCTCCTCCAAGTTTTTGCCAAGTATTTTGGTCAGTGACACAAAGCTGACTAAAGTAAGTTACTTAGCAATGATCTTTCGAATCTTGTGTTTAAAATAGGCGGGCATGGCTGTGTTCTGTCTATGCCCATTTAGTCTCATTATTGAGAGAAAACCCTGTGAATTTTATACTTAATGCCGTTGAATTTATCTGGAAGGAAAAGGTGCCATTCCCAGTGCTGTGTGATCACCCCAGGCATTATTCCTTCTAATCCTTTTAGTGGGGTTTATAGTAATAGGTACTCAGCTAAATAATCAAGGGAAGGGCTGAGGCTGTGGCTCACGGCCGGGCACTTACCTATCGTGTGTGCGTGAGGCACTGGGTTTGATCCTCAGCGCCACATAAAAATAAACAAATAAAATTAAGGGGCTGGAGATGTGGCTCAAGCGGTAGCGCGCTCGCCTGGCATGCGTGCGGCCGGGGTTCGATCCTCAGCACCACATAAAAACAAAGATGTTGTGTCTGCCGAAAACTAAAAAATAAATATTAAAAAAATTCTCTCTCTCTCTCTTTAAAAAAAAAAAACAAATAAAATTAAGGAATTCTGTCCATCTATAACTACAAAAAAATTTTAAAATATAATAAGGGAAAATTTGTGCAAAAATTCTCTGTGTAGCCTTCCCCCCTCCCGTAACCTGTCCCATGACCTCTAGCTACCTTGGTCTCCCTAGATGCTCAGTGTCTGTTCCATACCCTTAACTCAAGAGTCCACCAGGCTTTTTGCTGAGGCCTAAAAATTGTCTCAAATCAATAAGCTGCAGCAGTCACATGGCTCACAGCTCACTCATTTATTTCTTGCCTCTCAGAGATCACTTTTTTTGCCTATTCCTGATATTTCAAATCACTCTTCCATATATTTTGTCTTTTTCCAGTTATTTCATGTAGGAAAGTAAATATGGCCCCTGTTACTTCATTTTGGTTGGAAATAGAAGTCTCTATCTTGCTATTTTTGTGCATGAAATTTTCCATTAATAAAACATACTCAGATAGCCAGGTGGGGCGGTACATGCCTGTAATCCCAGTGGCTCAGGTGGCTGAGGCAGAAGGATCACAAGGCAAAGCCAGTCTCAGCAACAGCAAAGTGCTAAGCAACTCAGTGAGACCCCATCTCAAAATAAAATACAAAATAGGGGGGATATAGCTCAGTTGGTAGAGTGCTTGCCTGGCATGCACAAGGCCCTGGGTTCAATTAGCACCACAAAAAATAAAAATAAAATAAAGAACAAATTAGGGGTGGGGATATAGCTCAGTGGTCAAGTACCCCTGAGTTCAATCCCTAGTATCCCCCCAAAAAATACTAAGATAAAAAGAAGATAAAGAAAAAACTCCTTGAAAGAGTCTTTGTTTCTACTTCCTCCTTTCCTACTCTTTCTCAAATCTACTCTACCCTCTTGTCCTCGACACTGCTGAAACTGTTCTTCAGTGACCTCCAACGCAGTTCTTAGTCCTCATTTTACTCACTCTCTCAGTTTGTGACTTGTCTTCCTTTCTCATCCAAGGTGCTGCACAAAGTCTCCTGGCTTTCTGCTGTCTGTACCTCTTTTGTTCTATCCTCATCTGCTTTCCAACCTCTAAAAGGTATAATATCCCATGATCAATCTTTGGATCTTTCTTCTAATCACACTCCCTCTTTTATTCATTTCATCTAATCTCAGGATACTGCATGTCATCTATTCATTCATTTAGATCTTCAACTATGATTGTTTCCATATATGTGGAGGTATGAATATGTGTGGGTGTAGAGTAGAAAATTATATATCCTTATTTCCATATGGATTTTTCATAAGCATCCCAAATGTAGCATGCCCCTGCCCCCCATTTTTTGACTTTTCCTTCTAACTTGATATCTTCGCTCAGGGTTCACTATCTTTTTTTTTTTTTTTTGGTACTGGGGATTGAACTCAGGGGCACTCAACCACTGAGCCACATCCCCAGCCCTATTTTGTATTTTATTTAGAGTCAGGGTCTCACTGAGTTACTTAGCACCCTGCTGTTGCTGAGGCTGGTTTTGAACTCGCAGTCCTCCTACCTCTGCCTCTCAAGATTGTGGGAGTACAGGCATGCATCACTGCGCACGGTTAGGGTTTTCCATCTTAGTAAGTGATAATAACATTCACTCAGTTGCTTGGGTCAACCTTATAATCAACCTTAGTTTTTCCCTTTTGTTCACAGCCCATATACAGGCTATCTGCAAACTTAGGGAGCTGTAGCTTTAAAAGGCAAACACTTCTTGACAACCCTAAGGTGGATACCCCATTTGAAGCCATCTTTATCTTTCTCCTGGACAGTAAAGTAGCCTCTTACCTGGTTTCTCTGTAACATATTCTCCACACAATAGCCACTGTTACTTCTAGATGTGTCATACCAGTTGGTTGTTTTGCAGAAATTGATGATGTGACTCTAAAATGCATATGGAATTTCAAGGGTCTCTGAGTAGCCAAAACAACCTTGAAAAAGAAGTTGGAGGACTCATACTTCTTCGTTTCTCACACATTCTACAAAACTCCAAATCATCAGGACTGTGTGGACCTAGCATAAGGATAAAACTTTGTGCAGTATTTTACATGAGAAAGGAAGAGAAGGTTTCACGAAGGAGCGATTGTGTCACAAACTGAGAGAGTGAGTAAAATGAAGACTAAGAACTGCGTTGGAGGTCACTGAAGAACAGTTTCAGCAGTGTTGACAGGAGGGTAGAGTAGATTTGAGAAAGAGTAGGAAAGGAGGAAGTAGAAACAAAGATTCTTTCAAGGAGTTGTTTCTTTATCTTCTTTTTATCTTAGTATTTTTTGGGGGTGATACTGGGGATTGAACTCAGGGGTACTCAACCACTGAGCCACATCCCCAGTTCTATTTTTTTTTTAAATCTATACATCAAATAAATAGAATAAGGAGTCCAGGGGCTGTGGTTGCGGCTCAGAGATGGAGTGCTCGTCTAGCATGTGCGAGGCCCTGGGTTCGATCCTTAGCACCACATATAAATAAAGGTACTGTATGCAACTACAACTAAAAATTAAATAAATATTTAAAAAAAAAGAATAAGGAGTCCAGAAGTAAACCTACACATTAATAGTCAATTGATTTTTTTCCTATATTTTTTATTGGCATATTATAGTTGTACATAAGGGTGGGATTTATTGTTACATATTAATATGTGTACACAGCCATTCTGAACTGGATGATACTCAAAAAGAATGTTATCCAGGCTGAGGATATAGCTCAGTTGATATAGTGTGTGCCTCATATGCACAAGGACCAGGGTCTAATCCCCAGCACTACAGAAAAAAATAATAACAATAAAAGAATATTACTCCAAATTCCATAATCCTTTATATGTACAGAAATAGCCCAGAGTCAAGAAAGAACGGTTGAAAGAATTTATCATTCTTAGACTATGACTCTCCTTTCCATTTATTTCTCAAAACAACAGAGCAAAGCAGAAATCAAGAAGCAAAAACATAACTCAGATGCTGCAGCCAACTGTCTATTATTTCACAATCTGCCCACACCTTAAATAAACAGGAAAGGTTATAACTAGCTACAGGCAGACACTACAGAAAACAGACCATAAGAAACCTCAAACATCCAGCCTCCATCTTTCTTCTACAGGATATTACTTCTTTTCACGACTACAAATGTCTCTCACAATAAGTTAAAGTCAGGCATGATGTCATGGGATGACCAAATACCTTTTTCAGGATTAGTACTTTTCTGATGGACATGTGGAAAAAATATCAGAAAAAAATATCTGTTATTAGGGGGAACAAATATTAAAATTTCCATTTGAATATTAGAAATTATATTGACATTTAAGCAACAAGACATATTTGGAGTTGAATGAGAGTATATATTTCTTTGGATCTTTTAAAAAAATCTGTATGTGATAATAATTATGGTAAAGTTGGATCACAGTAACATCTCTCTCATCCAAAGCACCAACATCAGAATAACAAGAGAATCCTGATAAGCAGAACATCAGCAGCAGAGATTATACTTTTTCTCTTGTGTATTCATAAGCAAATAAATGGAGGCTTTGACTTAGCATCAACTAACCCAGTGCTTAAAATGGGAGCTTAGGCAAACTCAAGAATTTGATGTCAATTAATCTGTTTTTTGGGGGGGGGCTATAAATGTTAAAAAGATTTTCATTCTGTTTTGAAACAAAATAAAAAGACCTTGAACTACAGAGAGTATGCCCTGACACTGTACAGGGCAAACCTGTGAATTACGATGGGAGAGGATAGGGAATGTACGGGTATACGTGTAGGATTGCAGTTTTAAATGTTATAACGACAACACTGGAACAAAGTTTTTGTAGGAATGTGATAGTTTTATGTGTCAACTTGACTAGACTATATTTCCAGATTATTGAATCAAATACCAATCTAGGTATTACTGTGAAGGTGTTTTGGAGATGTGGTTAACATGTGACTATAGGAGCCATGTCCACATACCTTGACTCTAAGTAAAAGACTACCCTCAATAATGTGGACAGGCCTCATCCACTCAGTTAAAAGGCTTAAAAACAAAATTAGGGCTTCTTAAATGAAGAATAAATTCTGCCTCAAGATTCTAACATCAACTTCTACCTTAAAGTTTCCAGTCTATCTGCCTAACCTAGAGATTTTGGATTTGCCAGTCCCCACAACTGTATGTCAAATTCTTCAAATAAATTCCTAATCTCTCATCTGTGTGTGTGTGTGTGTGTGTGTGTGTGTGTGTGTGTGTCTTTCATGTGCATATACAGGTATACTAATATATGCATGTATATGCAAGCCTAGACTCTACACATAACCAGCTAGTATATGCATATACTTATACATATATGGTGTATATATATGCATATCCACGCATACACACATGTATATACATTAATGTATGCACATATGTACTTGAAAACACACACACACACACACACACACACACACACCCCTCCTGGTTTTATTTCTCTTGGGAACCCTGACATATAGTAAGAGTGTTCTGGGCAGAAAATATAAATGCAAAAGCACCATGTGCAAAATGCTGTTCTAGACACTGCCAAACAACTGTGACCAAGACAGATGTGGTTCCTACCATCCTAAAGTTTCGAAACCAATGAGAGGTACTGCTGCCAAACCCATCTGTCTGCTCCCAGACCCTCTGGCCCTTCCCAGATTCACTTACTTTACTCACAATTCTTACCCCCCAAGTTACCATTTCAACTCTTCTTCTTGTTTTTTTTTTTTTTGGTGGTGGAGGTGGAGGTGGTGTATCAGGGATTGAACTCATGGACACTCAGCCACTAAGCCACATCCCCAGCCCTATTTTGTATTTTATTTAGAGAAAGGGTCTCCCTGAGTTGCTTAGCACCTCCCTTTTGCTGAGTCAACTTTTCTTTTTACTGGCATTTCTAATAACATTGGCCTTCATTACACTTGCCTCATTATTATTACTACCAACTCACTTTTGGTGATTGTGGAGTTGAGGAACTATGCCCACATATCTTTGAATTACCTTCACAAAAACTGTCAAGTGGAAAAGACAGGTAATATTTTTATTTCACAGATGAGGTAAATTAAAGTGGATGAGATCACAAAGTTAAAGATCACAATGGCTGAATGGGGTCTCAAGCCCACATCCCACCTTTCCATTCAACAATAATACATTCTTTAGTAATCTGTGGTCTCCTCTAACTGCTCATCTCCCAGCCACCATTCACTTCGTGGCTCATTTCAATCTGATAACCCCCTCATTCCTGAATGCAAACGTTTTGCTTTTGGGGAAGCTAGGTGGGGATTGTGAATTACATGTGGAATTACATGTGGTTAGTCAAGCAGTATTAAGGAGACTCTTTATTTCTCCTTAAGTTTCTCCCCACGGCTCTGTTTTCAGAACACATTAACAATAATCTTTTTAAAATGTCAGAAAAAATGAGGGTACTGGCCCAATTGTAACAAAATACAAAACTACCTGGGAACAATTTGTTAAAGGAAGTGTGCATGACCCAGCAGGGTGGCGCATGCCTATAATCCCAAAGACTAGGGAGGCTCACAAATTTCAGGACAGCCTCAGTAACTTACAGAGACCCTGTTAAAAAAAAAAAAAAAAAAAAAAAAAAAAAAGAAAAAAAGAAAAGAAAAGAAAGAAAAGAAAAAGGAAAAAAGGAAAGACAGAAAAAGAAAAACCACACATTAAAAGAACATTAAAAGGGATGTAGCTCAGTGTTACAGTGTCCCTACTTTCAATCCCCAGTACAAACACACACACACACACACACACAAAATGCATGGGTTTCCAAGGTAAAAAATCTTGGCAGCCTACTCATGTTGTCTTCTAACTTCCCATTAAAATCTTTGTGGGGCTATAATAATAAAGTGACAACATAAAAAACAAAACCAAACAAACAAACAAAAAAACAGGATTGTCAGCCTGTCCCACTCTGGGGGAGATCTGACAAACCCAAGGACGACATTTCCTGATAACAAGTGCAAGCAGCGACCCGGGCTTGCCGGAAAGTGCAATGCAAGGACCTTCCTCCCAGTTCAGAAGAGCAAGGTCTGTGCACACCACACAACCAGACAGATGTCTCCCTGCTGTGGCATGATGATGCTTTTTTCCTTTAGAACAATAAAAATTATTCCCAATACCTTCCCAAGCTGCCCTCAAACTCTTTCCTCCTTAAAGTTTTCCGACTCCCCCAGCCACTAATACTAAGGAAACGCCCCGGCAGGAAGCAGGGCAGCGCGGGCCGCTGCACGATGCTTCCTGGGAATTGTAGTCCACGCGCAGATCGCGCAGGCGCAGGGACGAAGAGGGCAGGTTGGGACCGGAGCAGAGCCCGACGGGATTGTAGTTTTTTATTAGGGGTGTCAGAAAGCCGGAAGGTACGGTTGGAGACCTCATTTCACACCGCAGGAAAATGATCTGGGTGAATAACAGATTACAGGGAGACTTGGTTTGGGAATGCCGGGCAACGGCCTCCATTTAGTTGTAGATCTGAGATGGATTGAGGTAGCCATTGAGGATTGAGGTGGACAGAACAAGGGAAGGACGGTCCATGCAATCTGCTGACAAATAGACTGTGGAGCAGCGACAAAATACAAGGAAGACAAGCCGTCCCAAAAAGAGAAAATGCAGATCTGAATATGATTCCCCTCACAGTTTTAAAAATTGCTGGCCTCTTTAAAAAAAAAACACACACCTACATATATTGTGTGTATGATACACAATGATTGAAAGTATGGCACAGCCTGGGAGCATATACAACTAAATGTTAAGACTAATTTTCTTTGGATAAGGGAATTACGTTTTTTACACTTTAAGGTATTTTCTTGTTCACAAGAACAAAGTACCATTTTGAGGTATAAAACACTTCAAGTATAAAGAAAAGCACATGGAGCAAATTTTAAACACTCTGGTATCAACCACAGCGATTAGCCCTATTTCCTTTAGATCCTTCCTGCCTCCCTCCCTTCCTACCTTCTCCCTCCCCCTTTCTTTCCAGAAGGAGGAGAAGAAAGAGGAGGAGAAACAAGAAGATAATTTAAAACTCCAATTGTTTGTTCTTAGTATATACAAATACTATTGGTTTTTTAAATATTAACCTAACCTTGTATCCTTTGACTTTGCTTAACTTATTTATTATTTCTAGTAGAATTTTCACAGATTCTTCAGGATATTTTTGTATAGATAACCATATCATTAGCAAATAGACAGCTTTATTTCTTCTTTTCCAGTATGTGTTTTAATTACCTTGCTGTGTTAGCTAGAACTATGAGTATATTGTTGAATAAAAATGATGGGAGTGGACTTCCTTGGATTCTTCGTGTAACATTAGGAGAAAGCCGTCCAGTCTTTGACCATTAATTATGACATTAGTGCCATGCGTGGTGGCGCAAGCATATAATCCCAGCGGCTCAGGAGGCTCAGTCAGGAGGATTGAGAGTTCAAAGCCAGCCTCTGCAAAAACAGGGTACTAAACCACTCAGTAAGACCTTGTCCCTAAATTAAAAATACAAAATAGGGCTGAGGATGTGACTCAGTGGGCGAGTGCCCCTGGGTTCAATCCCCTGTTACACTACCCCTGCCCCCCCAAAATGATATTAGCTATAGGTTATTTTTAATAAGTGTCTTTCTCAGGTTTAGGATTGTCTCTCCTATTTTTAGGTATTTGGAAGTTTTCATGATGTTTGAGTGTTGAGTTTTATCAATTTCTTTTCTGGCATCTGTTGAAATGACTGTGTTTTTTCTTAATTTATTCATAAAGTGAATTATATTGCCTTATTTTTCAGATGTCAGGCTGGCCTTGCATTCCTAGAATAAAAACCATTGGTCATCATGTATTATTCTTTCCATTCATTGCAAATTTTCTTTACTAGTACTCTATAGCAAATTATCATGTTTGAGTGCATGAAGAAAATTGGAATTTAGTTTTCTTTTTTGTAAGGATTTGTTCAAGTTTGGGTACCAATGTAATATTATTCTCATAAAATCAATTAAAATATATTTCCTCCTTTTCTATTTTCTTGAATAGTTGTATAGAAATGGAATTATTTTCTACCAGTGATACCATTTGTGATGGTTGATTGGCTAGGCCACAATACCTAGATATTTGGTCAAATATTATTATAAACGTTTCTGTGAAGGTAGTTCTTAGATAAGATTAACATTTAAATCAGTAGAATTTGAGTGAAGCAGATTATACTCCATAATGTGGGTAGGCTTCATCAATAAATTGAAGGCATTAATAAAAAACAGGAAAGGAAAAAAAGACTGATCTTCCCAGAGAGAGAGATAAGAGAATTCTGCCAGCCGGTCAGCCAAGGACTTGAACTGGAACTCTTTCCTGAGTCTCTATCCTGCAGGACTACCCTATAGATTTTGAACTTACCATCTTCTAAAATCATATGAGCTAAGTCTCTTAAGAATAAAACTCCCCCTGCACACACATACATACCCCATTGGTTATTTTTCTCTGGAGAACCCTAAGAGACTATCTGAGCTTGCTAACTATTTTTTTAATATATTTTGTAGTTGTAGGTGAACACTATACCTTTATTTTAGTTTTATGTGTTGCTGAGGATTGAACCCAGTGCCTCATGCATGCTAGGCAAGTGCTCTATCACTGAGCCACAACTCCAACCCTGCTTGTTAACTATTAAGATGAAAGATTCTCAGCTACAAATCAGTTTCTTTACTATTTATAGGACCTATTAGAAGATCCATCTCTTTTTAAGGGAGTTTTAATAGTTTCGGTCCTTTAAGAAACTTGTCCATTCATCTATGTTATCAAAGTTACAGATATAAAGGTGTTTGAGGGGCTGGGGTTACGGCTCAGTGGTAGCACACTTGCCTGGCATGTGTAAGGTGTAAGGGTCTGGCGAAGCGTCGGAGGAAGAGATCACACAAGAGACTGGCTTCATGCAATTGGCAAAAGGGATTTATTGATTCAGCATGCTGAGGTTCCAGGCTCACTCAGGAAGATAGAGCAGCCCAGAGCCCAGAGCAGAGGTCAAGCAGAGCTTAAGTTCACTTTTTGGGGAGGGCAGGGGGCTTTGCATACATCAGAACAAATCATCATGAGGCACAGGAAAATTGAACAACAACTCTGAGACATGATTAGTACATTCATTGGCGGGAACAGTCTGGGCAGGGGTGATTGGTCACTTCTAAGTGGGGTACACATTCAAACTGATTGGTTTAGGGCCTAAAGGACTATGTGACATACTACACAGAATCCCAGGTTATTAGACAACCAGTGGAAACAGTGGGGATATTTACTGGGCAGTTCCAGTATTGTCCTAACAGCTACAGGGATTACAGGTTCTGGGGGTAGCAGAGGAATTTTAACAATACCTAGTCTTTCACTTTTTAACTCAGGCCCTGCAGCTTGGAAACTTTACAATGCCCTGTCTTTTACACTTTAACTCAGGCTTTGCAGCTTAGAATCAGCTTAGAAATTTTACCTTTACATAAGGCACTGGGTTCCATTCTCAGCACTACATGTAAATAAATAAAATAAAGATCTATCAACAACAAAAAAAAATTTTAAGAAAAACGGTGCTTGAAATGATCACTATTATTCTGTTAATGTATGTAAATTCTGTAGTAATGCACCATCTTGCATTTCTGATATTAGTCATTTGTCTTCTTCAAATGCACATACCTGTTAGGAGAGAAGTTTATCAGATTTATTTCTTCGAAAAAGCATGTTTCATTGAATTATTTTCGTATTTTACCAACTTCTCTATTTTTCCCACTTTTGTTTGCTTTGGCTTAATTTAATCTACTTTTTATAGTTTTTTTTTTTTAAGTGGAAACTGATAGACCCAACCTGATCTTTTCTTAAAATTGAGCATCTCCCCACAAAGTCATGAAAAGATAATTTCGGCTTTACTATAAATTATTGCAAATTCTGAACCTGTTTGGAATGCCTGCCCGTGCCTTGAACTCACCCAAGCCTGGCTCTCTGACCAGATAGCAGCCCTCTCTGAAACTTTAGTGACGCCTCACAAATCTTGGCCTTCCCTGGCCAGACAAGGACCCTCTCTGAGGCTCTAATGGTCCTCATAAATTCTGATGTTGGGGCCAGCAAAAAAATGTAAACTACCATTAGTGTGATGCTTGTCAGAGTTCTGTTATCTGTAACCCCCCTTTGTGTAACTTTCTGGGCTATAAAGCTGGGCTGCAGGAAAGCTGGGGTGCTGTCTTATTCCCGCCGTTTTGGGAGGGAGAGGCAGCCTGGCTGGTTGAAATAATAAACTTGCTTTAATTTGATTTTAATTGGAGTCAGTGGTCTTTTCTTGCGTCCTGGTCTAACAAAACCTGAATCATTGGTTAAAGACATTTCTCCCTTTCTAATATAAACTTTTAAAAAATTTTTTTATAAGTTGTAGGTGGACACAATACCTTTATTTATTTTTATGTGGTGCTGAGGATTGAATCCAGTGCCTCACATATAGCTAGTGAAGCCAGATTAAAAGAGAGGCAGTCAGTGTATATAGGTAAATCAAGTCAGGTCAGATCTAGGAGGCCAATTTTGAGTGAGTCTGGGAAGTTGGAGACTGTCCCCTGAGGGACCTTATCAAGAACCTGCCCATCCTCCAACCTGTTGCCAAGGTAACCTGTCCCAGGACAGGTTATTTCCCCTCCCTACAGGGAGCTATAAGGTTGTTAATGTGTCCTTGGCTACTCCATCCTGCCCTTCCCCCTTCAGCCCACCTGTTTTCCACCTTTTGGCCATAGTCAAATCCACAGGAAGAAGAAAGATAAGGGGGGGAGGGAAGGCAGGAGAACAAAGGAATCCTAGGACATATAAAAAGGACAGAACACCTGGCATCCTGGGATACCATGTTACCAGCCCTGGCCCCCTTCTCCCTCGCTGGAGAAGTCTATGTTACCCCTTTTTAAATAAACCCTGCTTCATATGCTTGCCTTGGCATGCTTCTCTAATATCCAAACTTCAACATGTGGGGAAGCAGGACTCGTCACCAATAACAGTATCACTAGGCAAGCACTCTACTGCTGAGCCACAACCCCAGCTCCTAATATAAACATTTAATAGCATAAATTTCCCTTTAATCATTGCTATGGAGCACTCTGTTATGTTAATATATAGTATCTTCATGTTCCTTCACTTAAAATTACTTTGCAATATTCATTATAACTTCTTCTTTGACTAAGTGCTTACTTAACATATTTTACTGAATTTATAAATACCTT